TCATTTCTCGCAATTTTTCGATCCGAAAACACAGAGGTTTTACAGTGATGGCAGTATGTTGTTACGGGGAAAATGGAAGAGGGTCATTAAGCAGAATCGCACATTTTACGCTTTGCAGTATTGCTTCGAAGCATAAAAACCAGTTAGCTTAATTTCGGTTTGGAAACCGTCAATACTTTTTCGACCACCCAATATTTCGCTTTATATAGTTACGTGTTCTATTTTTATGCCCCTTGTCCAGCAGATGCTGTTAAGGTTATAAACGGGGTTGGATAAAATAGGTCGCAGTGCGATGCAACAGTCGTTCTGTAATGGGTAAACTGGGAGTCGGCTATTGTAATCCGCGGGGTGACATTGTCGAGCTCACGGCGAACTGTTGGGCGCTAGCTAGTCAGCCACCGGGGCTCACAATCATATCGTGGCCGTGTCCCGCGGCCGAGTTCCGACAGGAGCCATATTGTTGTCGTGGCTGATAATGCCATTTACGGCAAAGTACGCCGTACCAACCAGCGGTGATGGCAATAGCAGACAATAGATATTAACAATATTAATTATTTGTAGAAAATTGGATAGACCATCATCAGCAGCGTTATCGTCATAATCAACGGCAACAGTCAAAAGGATTCGAGGATCCGTTTGCGAAACTCCTCTTCCGTCGCTATAGTGGAGAGCAACGTCGCTCAGTGAGACGCGCGATGGCTAGACAGGCCGTCGAACTATAGGCCCATTTGCCGACGACTCGCCTCCCTCTTGGCCTGCACAATGCAATATAGACGGACGGCGCAGATCCTGCTGCCACCGCCGCCCTAGAACTTCTCGCAGTTGGTAAGCCTCTATTGGTGCTAACGTAAATTATTATGGGCTCAAGCACAATCACGAACCAACCAGCAGCAGCACTTAATGCACTGATGAAATTTTGCAGTGCTGGACAGTACGCGATTGTCCTGCCCGTAATTGCTTCACGTACTTATCACTCAGAGGACGTTAGAAGTGTGGGGCTAAAATAAAAGGCTACCAAAAGGTCTCGCAAGTGTAAGCCACAATCACCTTAGCAACGTATGAATGATGCACCATATTAAAGATACAACTAATCTAATACTTTGCGATATATCTGTTCTTATGGGGTTGGTTAACTGCGTGTACAAGAGATCCGTCGGTAGGGAGCGCTAGCGCGCCTACTAGAACGTATCCTACTCAATCTTACATAAACACGTCGACGTACGCACAGTACATGCATCTGTGCTACTCGTCATAACAGCGTTTTTGATTTTGTTTCATAGCGAAACACTGCAGATGCAAATAGAGTTCTATTATCGTTGACATCATCATCATTATTCATTGACGAGTTCTTGTCCTAGAGTTTCTGCTGCCGCTGCTATTCTCGTCATGCTTTGTACAACGCAACTTTCCAATTGGTCTATGTCTGCTCTGACGATCTCTATATACGGACACTTGCGTAGCCATAAGCGATGGCATCGTTGTCATCAGCAGCAGCCGCACTACAGAATATTGTCGTCGTCGTCGCCGTTCTGCTTGTCGGTGTTGCTGTGGTTACAGGATCTCTATATTGATTTGCTAGTCAGTCGTTGTTGCCAGGTGGCAGTTCGGCTCGTGGCCATCATGTCGTTGTCTGAAAGAGGGATGACTATTTCTAGAGGCATCGGTCAAAGCAGAAGCGGTGAGAGGGCAGCAGCAAATGATGATGAACGACAGATGGCATTTGCCGTATGCCGTCATCAGCACCGCAGCCCCGTTGGCTAACGGAATTAGATTCTACGGGCAGAAGGTGCTCACCAAGCAGCAGTAACAGCAATCGGAAGCTGAGCATCGGAAGCCAGCTGATGGAAGAAGCCGATTCAATTAAGTGTTTTGAAATACAGGCCGTGCCATTTTTACAGTAACTAGAAAATTTTATTGTAACGCTATCTAAATATCGAGTCGTGGCGAAATTTCCCGGATTTCAGAGTGGGCTCGAGCCTAAATAGTCGGAGAGTTCCTCGGTGAGAAAGTCTATGTATATTCGTCCATAACAGCTATACAACCTAGAACTACCACAGAACGCAAACACTCGTGTCGTTATTAAGTAGTTGTTGTTATCGTCATCTCCACGTAGATCACACGCTGGCTACTTTATTGTCAGCGTTTTTATGTCGGAGTTGAGCAAGCCCTACGACAACCACAAGCGGCGGTGGTTCCGAGATTCGACGAACCGCGTGACGTCCTCCAGCCTTCGGTTGTCCTTATTCCTCACTCACTTTCTGTCTTGTCGGCCAGGTGAGTTCCCCTTTCGAGAGAACGAACCAGTATACGACGGTTCTATCTCTTCGTATAACAACAACGACAACAGTAACAAGTTAGATCTAGCCAACAAATTTGATGGCCTTGCAACTGTCACACATGATGACACCCACTGATCCCTCTGTCCTTTCGTTCGATCGATCGACCCTCGCATTGCATTTTTCGATTGCAATAGTTGTCATAGTCAATTCGACGCCATTAGACGGCCAACGCTGCCGAAGCGGTGGCCGCTCGACGAAAATGTGCTACAATTGAAGGATGACGACATCGTGACGAGGACAACATTCAGTTGGTCGGATCGGCGACGTGTTAGATCATCTGCTCGTATCTCGTAGTCGTCAGTAGACTAGCTGTAGTAGCAGTGCATATGTAACTCATGTGCTGTGTATATGTATGCATGTACGATCAAAAGTAGGCAGGCCGGGTCAACAGATTGTCCCGCTGATTCGGCTTGTCCTGACAGATCGAGCGAGATCTACTACTGTTGCCGCTGCTGCTGTTACTACTGTCGCTGCGACACCTCCAGACAGTTGCACTGCCCCCTTTCACTTCTCGTTATAGCCTCCCAAAGTGTCGAGCAAGTTTGAGGCTGCCACTGCTGAGCGAGCTCGGATCAAAATCCAGCAGCGATGCTGATGATGTTGACGATGGAGAGACGATTGGCAGCGTCGCACGCTTATCAGCTGCGGCGGCGGCGGCGGCGGCGGCGGTGGCGGCGGCGGCGGCGGGATCGAAATGATTGTCGGCCGATTTGAATGTGTCATTGGTTGTTCAAATCGGTCTCGTGTGAGATTAAAGGAGAAACAAGATAAGTCTCTAAGTCTAAAAAAGTGCAAAATCACCAAAATTCAAGGGGCGTGGCATACTCATCAAGCAGACTCTCGTCGCACCAATAACCACTGACTCCAGACAGAGAAACTGACTTTGCCAAAGCTGTCTGTGTTGCTGTGAACTATAGCTACGGTAAAAGCAGACGCGATGGGCCTGTGCCCATTCCGCTGCTGCTTCTCCCGGCACAATTAGATCACTTGCAAACGAAACCTAAGCGAGATACATCAGCGCAAAGCAAACGGCGTCGCTCGGCAAGAAGCACAGGCGATATAGGGGAACAAGGGACAGAATGGATGAAAACCGCAAAGGCGATCCTAGCTCAGCAAGAGCGAGTTCGGTGTGTCTATGAATATAATCGGAGATCAGCAGCAGTGCGAAGACGGCACAAAGAGCGACCTGTGAAGAAGTCAGAGCAATTGTTAGCGAGACTGTCGCTGTTAGTCTCTCTCTGGCTAATTCTTTTGCCGGGTATGAGACGGCTGTTGTCATAGATATGCACCGACTCCTATTGTTGTATCTTGTCGCACTCGAGTAACAACATCGTGGACACCGCGCTCGTCGCTGCTGGTGCTAGTCGGCCCGGGGGAGTCGAGTTGAGCGATCGCCGCCGATGTCGCCGGTGCCGCTCGTCAACGGAGGACAAATCAAACAGACGCGAAAAATCAACAGTGAGAACGGCAAAACGAAAGAGACTCATGACGGGTCCTGTCACCAAGTCGATTTAGCTCGACAACGAGCTAAAGTTTTTCGTCTGTCGATGTCGTTATCGTCGAGATTTTAACATTACTGCCACTTCTACCGCCGTTGAGGCGACCCACTAAGTATGTACTACCGATGATCACACTCAACTACATATACATGGACTACGTACATATATATACAGTGGTGCCAAACTCGACAAAGTCAGTAGGCCTCGATTTGAGGTACTGGCGCTGAGTCAATTCCTTCGCACTATCGCCCTCTCTTGTTGTGAATTCTGTGTGCAGAGCGCTGCGGTCCGAGTCACACTGTATGCCCGCGCCGGGACGCCGAGACTCCCTCGAGACTCACGCCCCTTCAGCCTTCGGCTTTTAGCCATATACACACAGGTCGCACTCTCTGTCCCATCTCTGCGGTCGCTGTGATGCGTTGATGTGAGCAAGCGAGTGAGTGAGTGATTTTGATGGGCGCCGCTGCTGACTATGATGGCAGAACTACGGAGAATGAGGATGGTGGAGGTCGCAGTGGTGTGATTGTGCGCCTGCTAACCATCGTCCTCATAGGATGTACAACAACAATAATTCTAGGGTGCGGGTACATCGTGGGTACCATCACAATACAACTAATCAACAAACGAGCAGCGGGCCAAGTCCGTTCGGTCGTCCATTGGGAATCGACTTGAGGACATAGGGGAATTCAGGTTAACACTGTGACGTTGTCTCATGGAAACACTGAACTCTTTCCATTTCCTCTGTTTGAAGACTCACAATCATCTTTATATATATAGTCATGAAAAAATGAGGAGTCAATATCTAGTACGTCTATGCAGACGTGCGCTATACATGTGTCTACAGAAAATGAATGAGCAACTTTCGAATACAACGCGACGGGAACAAGATAGGAGATATCAACGAGGCTTCATAATGAACTTCAGTAGGGATAACACGCTCAATTTCCCCACTGACCCAGATCCAGACACAAAGGTATGTTATCACACGCTTGCAAGACATCAGATAGATAAGCCCACAAGTGTGCGCTTGTGCAATATTATACAATGACTAAAAATATCTTTGTACGTAATGATTCGGTCGAACTGATTCGATGAAGACCGGCCCGGGCATTCGTTATTCGGGCTGACTTGTCAATCGACGTTGCTCGTGTTGTGAACTTACCTTCCTGTTTTGGTGATAATCATTTCAGTGCCGAGCTCGTTAAACCTCTCCCAGAGGTCCCTGTTCTCGAGGTGGCACTCAACCTTCTCCAGTGCTGGGCTATTGCATCCGCCGCGCAACAAAGATGCGTACGGGTTTGGTCCAGACGGTGTCTTCTCGTCATCAGGGTGCGATGACGATGAAGAGGACATTTTTCTTTTTTTCGCTTTCGGTGGCGCCGCACAGGGTGTTGGCGACGAGGAAGATGGAAGCGAAGACGGCTGCGGAGAGGAACTAGGGGACGGTGTTACTGCAATGCGAAGCACAGTAAAGACAGACAGCCCGAATTCCGAACACCGTTAGCAACAATAACAACAGCAACAAGCAAAACAAGTACACACATGTACGTACATATAGGCAAAATGGCTAATATTATGTTTTGTGTAGCTAATTTTGTAAACGAACGACAGACAACATACGCATGGTGTACTGTTTTGTGAATGACGATGTCAGCCAGCTCTGAAGTCCAAGCTCTTTGATTTGGCTGTCGTCGACGATAACGCCGTTCGTAGACACAACAGAATGAGCCTGCACAGTAGAAAGGTGCGCTGTGGCTCAAACGATATAAGGACGGCGATAAAAAGAAGAAATGGGCAGTCGAGACAGATAAATAAGATATTGGTGTGCGTATGCCCATTTGGATATTCGTCAGTCTGCCTGTCTGCCTGCCTGCCCACCGATCTAATGGCGGTGATTGTATTCGTGTGCTAAGATAGCCGTGTGAGCTCTGCGTCGTGGTCGACTCCCTCCCTCTCTAATTTGATCGTGTTGTCGGTGTCCTGTACCATCACAGGTAGAACTGCAGAATGGAGCAATCAAGACACCGGCGACCCTCACAGGTTACTCGACCAAACAAAGGGGAGATGCCGAATACTAGATACAAACAACAACGGCTCGCTTGCGCACTCTTCCAAGCAGTCACATACACCGAGATGAATACTCTGAGAGGAACGGATAGGCACAAATCACGTATCTTCTTCTAGATTGGCCGACCTGTTGAGAGCTGGAACGCTGACATGGACCACCCCAGAGTGGTTCGTGGCTAATAAATAGCTCTCGTTGTCGTCGTAGTTGTAGTTTAGAATAGTGCTAGCAGCAGCAGTGCCGGTGGTTATATGGGACTAGAATAAAAATGGTCGACAAAAAGAGCGATTTCTTTTCGTCCAAGTCTTGGCTAGCACCAGAAGCAAAAGTAGGCTTAACGTATGCAAACAGCTTGGTAACATCCGGAGCCCACGATCTGCGCTGTCACCTGAACTGCTCACCCGCTGTTCAAGAGGTGGAAGCTCAAAATGGAAATTCGGAAAGATTCGAGGCTTCTCACCAGCCGCGACGGCGGCGGCAGCAGCGAGTGCTGGTGACCACCCAGATACTGCTGGGCTCGTCGCTGATCAGCCACCGCAAGCGGACCGACGTTGATGATATGAGCATTTCAACTGACCCGAGTGGACCTGGGCAGAGTGGAGGAAATAGACGAATGGACACTCCTGACCCAAAATGACTGCTCTAGTTTACCAGTGCTGATGGCGCGATCATCCTGTCTCATTTCTCTTTCGCGCGGATTGGTTTGTGTTGCGTCAGAGTATCTTTGGGCTATCATTAAGTTCCCAGCGAACTTTTATCGTCAACTTATTGCCATGCGACGAACGACCAGTCTAAATGCACAATTGCGTCTATAGCTAATGTAATTCAAATGTACTAGAAATTTAATAAAAGAAACTGTTTCTTTTTTGTATTCCCGTAACGTAGCCATATATGTCTGTCTATTATAGATCCATCAATTGCTATACAACAACTGGTTACGTTCATTTGCATTATATAGGTACATTTACTATGTATTACTCTAGAGGGTAAGTATGATTTTGTTTCTATAATGTCGCCGCTCGTTGGAGCGCCAGCGTTGCTTTGTCTTTATGCAGATGCTCTCAGCAAGCTCGCACGCTATGAAACTTAATTAAGTTTGCATAGTTACGCGCCACGAGAAAGGTCGAGCCCGGTTGAAGAGAGACTATTAATCCTACGGGAAAAACAGGCCGACCGCGAACGGAATGCGTAAAAATGATGAGATAGATAGTTAATTTCTACGCAGTCGTTCTTGTTGCTACGGCCGCTGGTTCTTTGTCAGTGTCGCTCACGACTCACCCACGCTCTGTCGCTAGACTTGTCATCTTGTTGTCGTCGTCGTCGTCGCCGTCATTGTCTTCTTTTTCTTGCTCATTTTCTCGTTTGGGTCTTCATCTCAAGAATCGGCCTTACGTCTCGGTGGGTCAGACGTGCTGCTGGTTGTCGCTGCTCGCGGAGGTGGCCGACCGACCTAATCGACCAAGCGCTTATAGGCCGGCTAAAGCCTAGCTTGGTTGCTCTTGTTCTAACTCACTAGATAGATCGACAGACTAGCTGATAGACCAATTAAATGATCTTTGATGGCATCTTGGCCGTTCGACAGACCTCGCTACCTGATGTCTGATCCATCCAATGGATACAGCATACGAAAAGCTCACAAAGAAAGCCACGAGACAATCTGGTAGATCTGCAGGCAGTTGCCGATCAACTTCGATAAGACGCTGGGGTAGCGCTAAGGTAAGCTGTAGCCTAAGAACTGGCAGAGCGGCAGATTTAAAAGAAACTAGGCGCAGCTAAAGACCAGTTCATTTCAGACTGTCTCAACTTCGTTAGTCGGCAGCTAACTGTCTTTTAATGGCTATGGGGTGCGCGTTGGAAAACCTGCTTCTTTTTTCTTTTTATTCTAGATAGTTTACGTTCACCTATAATATACGGCATTATTTCCATTTGTCTTGATGGAATAATCACTTAGCATCTCAACCGCTGTAGGCATCATAAACAGCAGCAGCGCAAGTATCAATGCCGTAGCAGGCGCTGTTGTTGTGATGGTCTTTGTACCGTAAACGAGAGGGAATGGGGTACGATGTGCTTAAGATGAGTATATATGTAGCTGTCTGGTCACTACAATGCAGAGCTCTGTTCACGACTATGGCGGTGCTCCTTTAGCGATCAGCAGTGGTAAACATGGCTGTAAATGTCCTTTGGCTATATGTCGTGCACATTCCTGTCCTATCAAGTGAACGGTTTTGTGACCTTTAGGAGAAACGTCATCGACAAGGCGGCACTACAGTAGCACTAGAGTCCTATGAATCGGTTAGAGCCGTCTTAGATCCCCTGCGCCCTAATGAACATATATGTGTCCCAATCTCAATCACCGGCCATTGAACGAGTGAAGAAGCCACTCAAACTCTGAAGCACACATCCACAGGACGAATGTAACAGACAGAACGATAGAATATATATATATATGGCAATACATCAGGAGACAATCATGTATTTCGCATCGAGCGTACTTCCTGTTCTACTAGGTTGCGTTACCACTCGTACCAGCGGACCAATCATTCTCACTACAACCCAGCTACTAGAGTCACGATCTTTTCTCATTTCCCTCTTACTTGCGTATCTGACTTGGTCGCTCGATACATGGTGAGACCAGCAACAACAACAGGCTGACTTGATTAGACGTGCTAGGTAAACAGAGAAGGAAAAAGGAGCAATGGCCCAATGGAAAACCAATCCCGGCATGGAATCACTTACAGAGTGTAATGTGTCGAAGAGTAAAAAAAGGTAGGTCAGACGCTAAAACAAAGCTGATGACAGTTCAGTTGAAGCTTTCAGTCAATCGTTGTTATATTTCCCGCCACAAAGATATACGATAGATGACAGCGCACATGGGCGCTCTGTGTGTATGTGCGTGTGTGTACATATGGGCGCGTAGTGAGATTATTACCATTATGGGAACTATTACTACGGATCTCTTCAATATATGTCATCTATTTTCATTAGTTAAAGATACGATAACACGTACATCCCCTTAATAATAATAGCAGACGTAAAAGAGAAAGTAAGAGTTACTCACCGGTTGAGGGAGAAGCAGATCGGGCCATAATGGCTGCAATGCTGAAGTCGGTTGCCTTAGGCGAGCTCGTTTGTCGGCTCATTGTGCCGTTCGGTGAGCCGAGTTCACCGTTGGCGTGAAGGCTAAGACTCAGATTGAAATTGGCTGCGTGTAATGCACTAAGGGCGTGCAGGCTAAGCGATGAATTGTCCGAGAGAATCATTGCGAGACCCCCACTGCGCCAAGGGCGCGCATCAAGTGGTCACGGTTCAACAAAATAAATAAATCGTATATTCTAGACCTCTGATCAGGTTCCAGCCCCGTTCGATTTTACTTTGCTAACTATTCAGGTAAAGGGCACAGTTACTAGCTCGTGCGGCTTGATGACTAAAACAACAATGTTACGTGATTGCGATGACGATACGTCGGATTACACACGATCAGGACACGCTGGAATTATTCTGCACCACAGCACAATTTAGCACTGTTTTTCGTTTTACGATTTCTTCGTCAGCTGCAGCCAATGATGATTTGCACATGCACACCGGAGTCAACTGTTTTTTCTAACATACGTCAACTTCTATGGATAAGTTCACACTACGAGTGATTGTTGTAATTATGGATCCTATAATTACTATTTAAATATCTGTCGTTACTATTTCTGTAGATTGCTGATTCTGATTTGCTTCTGTACAGCTCAGTCATTGAATGGGATGTTTCTTGTTAGTCAGTGGCTTGGTTTGGTCCTTGAGTTCGAATTTGACACACAAGATGTCATTAACTTTTTTTTAGCAGGGGCAGTCTCTAATGCTGTTGTTCTTTTTGTTGTTACCTATATTCTTTCCTTTGACACGCAGGTTTCAACACGTACAAACAGATGAACACACAGACACACAATCGTGACACTCAGCCGAAGCACCCAGTCTGTAGTGCTGTACAGGCGATCGTCGAGCCGTTCAGCTGTTCGCCGGGTCCTTCTCCAATCAAAGTAGGACGGGTCGTTATATAGTAGTAGTAACAGCAGCAACTTAAGTGACTGCGTCGTGGTTTGTCAGCAGGAGCAGCACCAGTAGCATTCACTCTTCAGCGGCGCTGTCTGTTCTGCGGATTGCGCGACGCCTTCCCGTTGTAGCTTGTTTGTGTCTGTTATATCTCTGTGTCGATCGCTCTTTCGGAGCTGCGACCTCTTCGGAACACTAACAGCATATAACTAACAGGCAAAATCAGCTTGTCGTCAGCAGTATGAACAACAACACCGCGCCGCTGAAGCTGCTGCCGCTGCTGCCTTCGAAGCCAAGAAATGCTCGTGGTGCTCCCTGGCTAGCCGGCTAGCTAGATCGAAAGAGGTGTGATGTCCCGCCCAAACCCGATCGGCAGGGCGGGACTTCATGATCAGGGTGAGGGGCGGCCGCAAGCGCCATCTGGAGGCTCCCAACGGAAATAGGCACAGAGACCCTATCATTCTTGAGGGGAGATGTCGACGATACCGGCGTTCACTCGCTCGCACTGCCATCGCTGTCGCCGGTGCTGACGACAGCGACGACAACAACCACAGTAGCAACGACAACAATAACAGAACCGACACCAACAGACGTTGAAGCAGCGATCGTTGCCGACACGACGATGGCAGCAACTGACGGCAGGTTGGGCGCGGGCCTAGCGAACGCGTACGATGTTAGTTCTAGTGACCGCGGCGCCGATGCGACACTCAGACACTCATTCCACTCACAGGCGCGGAGCGAGGCGGCAGGACTCGGCTTGCTACCTCCTAGAAGAAGACCAACAGAGACATCCCTCGCACACGCAGTTGCTTTCTTCCTCTGCTTTTGCTCATTCAATCTATCGCCCACTTTGACTCTCTCATACTCTTGCTCTCTCGTTCTTGCCACGTAAACTGAGTAGCAGCGGCAGCAGTTACTAACAAACTGGCCCGTTTCTGTTCGCCGGCCCGTTCCCGAAACGCGCCGCTTATCCGGGCGCTCCACCAGCCGCCATCGGCGCCGTTTGAGGTGCCACACATTACACACACGTTAGGGCCATCGTGCTATTCTGCTTCACTGGGACCTGCAGCGACGCCGAAGTCGCCACAAATATCATAGCCATCAGTAATGCTACTGCACAGCAGACAAACACTCAGAGAGAAGGCCGACATACTCGCATTCATCAGAGGTGCTTACGGTGCCCCTGTCAGCGGTGCTGCAACAGGCAATGGACCCTTGGACAGCCTTGGGAACCGGGGGGCAGCACTTGTTGTGGCGATGGTATGGTGCTCCGTTGAAGAAATCGACGATGACGGCGCTCTAAGCTGCTGCTGGCGATACCGAACTTCATAAATGAAAAAAAAATATCTCTTAAGAAATGGGTGTCTGTCAAGGCTTTTAAGGGTAGCCATTAAAGGCACTGACAGCCACTTGTTTGTCGACAAGGTGGCACATCTGCAACAAAACCATCTCTAATGCTGCTTACGTCCCCAAAATTTATGGGATTTGGAGATTCGAATCAGTTGATTCTAGTCGCGCAACACAAATGGTCTAAACGTGCTGGTTAGGAAATATCAAGTATCAGGATATGAGGAAATATCAGGAAAAGCAGGACCGTTTGATACAAGAGAAAAGTAGCCGCTATATAGAAGTATCGAAGGTGCAAGTCTCGAGGTAATTTTTCGACTCATTTTATAGTTGCCTGTTACCCTCGTACAGAACGACGTAGCAAATAAGTTGGCAAACGTGTGGATCATGGGGCTTCAATCAAGATAAACTCCCTAGTTTTTCCATAACTGACCTTCAGCTGTCTTCTACGACAGATTTCACTACCTGCTAACAGCTGTTAAAATTGTGTCGTACTGAGGTCGATAAATTGAGGCGGCGGTCAGAAACGGGACCATCGTACGGAAATTAAACCTAGCATCTAGAACTTTCAATTTGTGGCGAATATTCAAAGCACACAGTATTTGTAAGGTATCGTAGGGTGACAAATCAATAGCGAAAGCACACAGTATGGAAACTATTCGGACGGTTAAACTTGTTGAATAGTATAAGCCTTTCAAGCTAGAGCCATGTTTATTTTAGGACCGCATTTACCAGTGGGCACATATTCATAGGTTCGTTATAGCGTAACGATAAGTATCTCATTTAAAGAATATTCAAAAGATTGTCATGATTTTCTTTAGCCTTTCCGTTCTTTTCTGTTGTCCATGTTCATCCACCAGCAACATATAGGGCGTTTTGATCTTCCCCATATTGTTTACGTTTGGATACTTTTAGTTTTAACGTTTTTACATCATCGGCATAAGGTACTAGGCTTATAGCGGCCTAGTCGATTCGGCAGGACGCCTCGTGCACTGACTGGCAGTACACAATTTTCGTGTAGAGATTTAGATATGAAGTTAAATCGTTGACATATTTCAAAAAGTAAGGTTTAGTTTCCTTTAAGCTACAAAATAGCACCAACGATATGCGTATTACGCTGAGCATGGAGTTTATATACATATACATTCGGAAAAATTTTGTGTGTCCAAGATAATCCTTCGCTCTCGAAGGCTTTGAAGTGCCTCGAAACGTACCATATGCGAAACAGTTCGAAGTGAGGAAATTTTATTTCTTTCAATGTAAATTCGATATTGGAATAAACTGGGGATCTCGATAAGTGGATATGATGGGAAGCAGGGGAGGTTTCTTAAGATACTGGATGTAACCCTTTGAGTGCGATTAATGCGACCAGTTCGAGTAGCAAAATTTTGACTTGAGAAAAAGTGATATTCAGACGTCAAAAGGATCTTTTCTTCGCGTAATAGGTTGCAATGGCTGGGTCATATAAGCTCGAGAACAAGTTCACCTTGCAGGAACCATTCAGTTGTGTGCGGAAAAGTCGAGATACGGCAGACTGGGCGATAGGGTAAAAAGCTTCGTTAAACTGATAGAGATAAGCGCATACACTCAAGAACCGTGGGAACGATATATCAGACAATTTTCGCGGACGATACAGTTTACTGTGGGTGCTAGGCATTTGGCATACAACCTATACGTTACCGCAATTTTTGTGAAACAGTCGTCTAGTTTTGTGAATTGTGTGAAAGTCTGGACATTCTCGCATTGCTGGTTTATAGCACCCCCCCCCCCCATGCCACCCCACATAATTCGTCCGCACAACTTTTGTGTGCCATATATGTCATTGGGTAATTCATATTCCACAGCGAGACTTTTCGTCCACAAACATTTTCTGCGGGGATGTATATCGAGAATATACAGCAACAAATTCCACGGTGCGTATACGTTCGTATGTATGTATCCTTTGAGTTTCATTCTAGCACCCCTCGGTTCTCGATGGGAAGTCAGAGAGTGCAGATATTCTAATCTAATCATTCTCAACCAGTTCACGAACCCTATCCAGCGTTAAGCAGCTCATGGCAATGCTAGTTTGCGCATGCAGAATCAGAGGCTCAGTCTGTCAGCCGTCAGTTACTAGGCAGCTGGTCGCTTGATCACTGGTCGATTATGAGATCGCTTTATGGTAAATGGTGTCTGGTGTTAATGAAGTCCAATCCATAGCCCCTTCGCCTCCTGTCTTCACCGTAGCGCGATCTGAGTTCGCAGTCATCTCACAGCTGAACGCTAGTTCGATCTCGCCTATAATGGCGGTGACAAAACGGATCCGACATGTAAAACAGTTTTACATTTTCTACCCTTCTTTCAAATCTTCTCGCAGTGACCACCCCTTTAATCGCCATGCGACGTATAACAGCTTCAGTTAGACATATATCCTGCCGCTATAATATTTGCTGCGTCCTACCACCGAACTCATTAGCGCTCCCTGCCAATTTCATTACAGCTCGATCGATACCCTTGTATCGTAGTGCTCTTTTGCCAGAATACTAAAAAGGACTGGTGAACGAAAGAGATTACTTCTCGTTGTCGTTTTTGGCGTTACGCGGCAACCGGGGCTGATGCTCATGGTGGAACAGTTGCTGTCCGAACCGTTGCTTCTGCCATTACGGCTAGAACCATCATGAAATTGGAGAAATTATCGCCGCTGTGAGTTAGTCGATTTTGTCCTGCGAGTGCTGCCGCTGTGGCTGTTGAAATCGATGCACGAGGCGATGTCATCTCGACTTTTAGCTGGGTACTATGTGGACGATGACGACGGCGGTGAAGATGATGATGCTTTAGCTTACGTGGTGAAGATGTGAGGAGATTCAATCTGTTAGCGTCAAATAGAGCCACAGCTCTGTTGCCTGTTACCGCCCGCCTAATTCTTCTTGATCTCAAATGGCGGCCGCTGCCACGCTGCTGCTGTTGTTGCTAACGCCCCTGCCGCCATCACCGAGGGGGGTGTCTCTAAAACGATTTCACTTACGGTGTGGTTGGTGCCGTTGGTGTCGTGCCGTCTTTTTACATACGACGACAGTAGCAATCTCTCGGTTATCCACAATTCGCCTATTATATGGACAGGAAGGTTTCAACGTCAGCAGCCGCCGACTCCCTCCAATCACGAGAGGTTGGATGGCGCGACAGCAGCCTGGCCGATTGACGCTGGTTGGCGGCCATCTGTCGCATATAACATACAATAGAGATGAACGACGTCGTGCATGTGTGTCCTCGTAGCTGCCATCAATGGCTTCTTACTGGCCGGCTGGTCGCTCGTTCCCTCGCATCTTCACATCAAACAACACCAAGTATACTTGCACACACATACGCCAGACGCTCTCCTTTGATCAGAAAAAGAGAGGCAGCGTTCACATAGCAACAAGATCAGGTCGACAAACAAGCCGACTGCCGAGTCGCTTATCAGCCACTGCTTAACATAAAATATCGCCTCATCATCTGTTCCAATCGGTTTAGCCAAACTCACCGTTTGATGACATGGCTTTGGCGTCGCCGTTGGCGGCGGCGGCGGCGTCCTTTCTATTACCTTTCTTGCAAACTGCTGTGAGTGAGCATATACGCAGCCGGAACGCAGTCGACAGCGGCAGCGAGGACGGAACCGTGCGACAAAAGTCGAAGCAAATGTATCGTCAACTGGCTATTATCATTGCCGATAGATCTCGTCTTCCGTTATCGATTCGAAGCAGTATACAATGACCCGTGCTTGCTTGGATCTACCCAAAAAGTAAAGTTCGACGAAATTAAAGACGGCGCAGACGCGCCACTGCATTCAACTCAGAGACAGTAGCTTGTTTACTTTAAATAGTTGCTCTTACCGATAAACAGGAAAAAATGCTAAATTCTGCTCTCGTGTCACAACATTTTCTTGTCTCTCAGAGATGCTGTCGATGTATTACCCTATGGAGAGCTGTCCTATTGCATAGCTTCGTCAGTGCTCATAAAGGGCCCTCTATTTTCCATAGTTGACCGAACACGATCACGCTGGCAGCCACACCACCGCTCCAGCTATTACTTCTTTTTCTTTCCACAACGACGACGACAAAAATGATTTACCGTTTGCCATCGTCGCCGAATCACACACATTCCAGTTGATCCAGACTGACACGGGGACGGACCACATCCTCTCGCACACACTTACTTCCACTCGTAACGAGTAACCCTCGTAGCAAGTATATGATATGCCCACCTCTGTGTCGATGTAACTGTTTCAGCGGGGGTGAATCGAAATTGGCGACGAATGCACGCATGTCCGCGGTGAGCCGCCGCACCTTCTGCAAAGCTGTCGAATGTCCCGCCCTTTTGATAACACGCTCCGCCTAACGGAACCGCCGCGTCAAGTGGGCGGACCATCCTCTCCCCCTAACAAGATGTCTACTGTCTCGCTTAGGGTTGCGATCGGTACGTTGTGTTTCTCATCGGCGGCTCTCCGATCGGCTTTGGTTGGCCTCTGCTCGTTGGTGTCGAGACGGCAGCTGGCTGTTGGCTCTGGCGCAAAGAAACGCTGTTTCTCGTGCCGCTGCTGCTGCTGTCGTCGTGGTCTTGCTGACACTGAAGTCGCCATCGTCGCCGCTGCTGCTGCTGCTGCTGCTGCTGCTGCAAACGTTGTAGAGCGTCCGTTCATGTGTTTCGATCATGTTCTTGTGCTGAACAGGACCAGCAGTCCGGCGAGAAGCCAGCGACATCAAATTTAGCGCAGTCTGGCCAGGACAGCCAGAATTGGCCGGCTAGCGCTGAAGTGAGCAAAGCCTATACGAACACTCTCGGATCAGGAACGCAGTGTCAGCCAAGTTCAGCTTATTCAATCGTTCCTACTCACGTTGAATCACGACAAACTGATGATTTCGCAAGAGAGACCGGACGACAGCGCATAGCACAGCCGGCGGCGATTTACAAACGCTAGTTGCTGAGTGGGCGCCCCCGTTCCTACCTCGGGACCGTCAACAAACGCAATCTCTGTTTTGTTCGTCATCGTTTGCAACAGCTTCAACGTTATATTACCACAGGCGTATCAATACCTCCGGATCTAGCAGGCATTTAAATAGGAGGTTGATTTTGGCAAGAAGCACCCCAGTCCCGCGTATTCTGTCACGGAAAATATTCTCTAGTTGTTTTGCAACTTTACGTTCGACTCGCAGAGGGTTCGCGAACTTCTGCCAACAGAAGTCACCTCGCAACGAGCGACATACGACAAAGACATGAATACTGCTAATGATCACTATGATTTTCATACCTAAAGCGTAGTGCCTGGCAGCGACCTATCGTCATTTTGTGATTGCGTTGCATCTGCTAGCCCAGGATTGTGGCGGTTATAGTGTCTATTTGTGAAATGCGTTGTTGTTGCTGCTGCTGCTGCTGTTGTTATTGTTGTTATCGTTGTCGTTGTTATTGTTGTTGCTATTGTTAGTTATTATATTACTTTACTTTTTATGTTAAACGTAACAGTACCATCATCGCCATCTGCATCATCGAAAAGAAGACGTGTGCGGGTAGTACTTATTCCAGTGGACTTCCGTAGCGTTGTTGTGCAAGCCATTTGTGATGGTATCAGTGTATCCTTTGAGCGCGTGTTTATGCGATTGTGTTGTGGGCCGGTAAGCCAATATCGATTGAAGCTCGCCAGATTTGGAGAGACTATACAGATTCACTCCGGGTGTTGTAGAGCAATTAACGTATTGCCAACTATAAAGGCCATCGGCGGTATGGTCGTTGAGATGGAGGAGGGCGGCGGAGGTGCGCTCAAAAGCGCGGGGCCAGTTCTACCACCAAGTATCATCCAAACTGGGGCACCTCCGGGGCCTGTACTCCCGATGCTGCCTGTCCTGCCAGCCGCTCCTGCACAAGGCGTTAGACAGACCTCAAGCCCTCGAGCAACTGACTTTAGTATCGCGGCGATTATGGCTCGTTCCGAATCACCCGCATCGAACAACGGTAAGCGAATGAACCAGCATGCATGAATCTGACAAAAACAAAGACAGCGACAGAGATATATAGTCGAAGTTCAGCATGGATTAGGAGCGTCATAACTCTACGCAATGATTTTCTATCTACCTTTTGGATATTTATTTTATTGGGTGTTCCTCATACCGAGGTTGGCAGAGGGCGAAAAATTGACGAAAATCACACCATTTAACTCTTCGCTTATGGCCATAAAAATAGCTAAGTGAACGCGTCCAAGGTACAAGAACTCAGCTAAAGTTCAGTAGTTTCAGTTTATCAACGGTATAGATTTGTCCTGAGATGCCTACTATCAATCGATAACATAGAGCAATATTTAGGTGCATACATCGACATTGATATGAAAAAAGGACTTACACGATAATAAATGAGTTATGACTTTGCACTAAAACTGATAAAAAAAAAATTGAAATACTTTGCGTGTCGGGCATGCGTCAACGTACATACTCATGTATAGCTCATAGACGCATAGAACACAATTGACGGCTGAAGCTTGTTCAATTGTGTTTGCCTAATTCATACACGGACCAAGTCCATTTTCTGGGTGCTTAAAAGATACGTATTTATTAATCGATTTTGTCTCAGCTTAGCTGGGCCTGAATTTCCTTGAAAATAATACGTGCCTAAATGTTCCTCACTGTGATGCTGTACCTTAAATTGCGGAGATGTTCTACTCACTGTGACCCACAATAAAGAATAGATCATCTCGGATCACTTCGCATAAGCGCTGAACGAAATTCTGAAGGACGGCAAAAACGACTTGATATCTATAAAGTCATCCAGCGATTGTATGTAAGGTCCTGATATGGATCGTGATGAATCTATTTAAGAATAACCATTTTTTTTAATATTCATTTGAACTATGTTTCTCAATGATACGTCACCGAACTGTAATGACGTCTTATTACCTGATCTAGCTGAGCCTTTACATTTGCTTATGACGTACGACGTTGTTTGTCAATCTGCACTCCGATGCGTATCGTGCTTCGATTTGTTCCGTGATGCGTAAATGGCCTATAACTTAATTCAACGACCTTACTGTCGGTTTAGATTCGTACCAATATACAGGCTGGCCTTAGCGTATTAGGCCACATATGTAAAACTCGATTGGCGATTGTAGTGAGGAGGGAGTCAACACAATTATCGTTTTATGTAGCACCATTAGAGTTATGGATGCTCCGGTGAATAATTGATCTGTCGTTTAGCAACTGTCGTCCTACGAAACGTTAAAAAAACATTGTTACTACAGAGCTCGTGGAGTTCAGAACTAACATTGTGTGTAGAAACGAATGTTCGATCGGGAAATTGAGGCGACTCATTTTAAGCTAGCCTCAACGTTTAGTGGATCTGTATTCAGTCGATAACGCAAACGTGCTAACTTTCGATTATAATAGGGCTATGACATCCTTATCATTGATAATGAACCCACAATCTCTTTAGCAATCGTGGAAGTTAGTTAGCTAGCCTCGTATCTCCATAGGTTTTTCGCCCTCTGAGAGATTTTCTAAAACAGATAGTTATCGATCAGTTTTCCTAGAGATGTATGCATGTATGCATCTATCGCGGATTAATGCAGTAAGCAAATGTGATCTGATTATGATTCGTCCAAATGCATATTTCGCCAGATCAGATTTGACCGTTGGGCGGAACTATGTCTGATAGCTCCGTTAAAACGATAGCTACAGTGTAAAGCTTTATTACGGCTAGTGGCATTTATCAATGATCGGACATATGAACTTATCATCTATATGATAGGCTCAATACCACATGCTATGGAAATGCTTATCAAGAGCTTTATTATATATGCGGATATAATTATAGAGTGATTAGTTAATTAACAAACAATTATTGCTCTTTATTACAAGGTATTAATTAGCTACCGGAAGATATTATAATTACGTGTGGGATAATTATAATATCTTCCACATATATATCGATGTATTCTCATACGCCCAGGCAGATCTGAGGTCAAATATCTCTTATGGCAGCTATCTGTGTATATTGGAGGTAGATTAGCCCAGTACTCGGCACCGTCAACAGTATTTGCTTGATAACTACTGTGTTACCCACAGCGAGGACATAGGCCATTTGTGTAAAATGGCCGCCATATATAATATGATTTATTATGGGCTAAACCTATTCTTTCTCCTGTACAGCTCATTTAATGCGAGTCATAAATGCTCGCTGATGAAAAAATGGAACAAAATAATCGCTAGAGCTTTTTATCTCAACTTTTTTCGCTTCTCTATAGCAGGCCTTCCTCCTAATTACGTTTATTAGGTATTGTTCCAGATTCGCCTAACCTGACCTAAGCATGACGTACTTGTTGACGCAGTAGCCATGTTTCACCCAAAGTCGAATGGGCGAAGACGAATCGGTCAAATCATGAGGGATATTCAGTGATGGGATGTTCCGTTGTTGACAGCGGTCTAGGTTCCTTGTACGTTACCTATACTATAAGCGGCTTTAGCTTCATACCATTGGTTCAGCATGTCCTTTAGTAGCTATGTTTGAGTATCTGTGTGTGTGTGTGTGTGTGTGTGTCTGCCGTTCAGTATAATGAACATCCTAGAAATTATCGCTATTTCTATTCAACTGACTTGAATCGAATCGGCTACACCTTACACAAACGCATATACGTCGACGCGCTGACGGCGAGAAAACAATCGTGGATCACCGTACGATTGCGAGATCCGATCGACAGCAGCCATCCCGCCGCTCCGGCAGAAGAAAGAGATTGTTGGCCGCACTTAACAGTAGAGTGGGCCCGAAGCGTGCTAACGTGTGGCACCACCTACAGGTTCGGGCCGACGGGCCCAATCAGTCTTTGGTAGTTGCAGCTCAACTTTATTTGGCTGGACGGTTAGTGCAACGATGTTAGTCTTTCATTCGTTCGTTGAGAAGCGAGTAAGCGATCCGATCGGAACCACACGATGCTATGGCCGCCGCTGGGTCTTTTCGCGTCTTTTGACTTACTTCATCGTTGTCGGCTATTCTTCCGCTGTCGCTTTTAATATCGCTGCGCCTTCGACGGCGCCGTTCTATGCAAGCAGTACTACTATAATCCTATTTTAACGCTGAATAGCCACAATAGAAACGATGATGACGCTGAAGAGATACGAGCAGGGAGACGCCCTAACTTCGGTCGTAATGCGTTGATTTGGTCGTCGCCGCCGCCGCCGCTGCTGCTGCTGCTCGTCCTGCTGCGACTGCTGTTGGCTAGTCTGTAACTTCCGTGGCAAAGTGTTGCCTGGCCAAAGACAGCGTCGGCAACAGCCCGAAATGATGAACACCCGTTCCCTACTCAGCAGCAGATAACGTTATTGGCGTTACAAACACGTAGATATATGTGCGAAATTTCTGCTCTGAGTACGATGAGGCTGACGCGATAAGGAGGATGCAATGTACGAAAGCTCTGTGAGTGACTGCTCCTGGATCCGCTTCTCTATCCGATAGCATTCTAAGATTAAATAGAATAATCCGAAACGGCAGCACAGCATTGAATCAATGAAGCCAGCCTAGCTGACTGGTTGCAATTATCGCTCGATAGCGTTTTTATATGCTACGACCTTTTGTAGATTCAAGCACGCAGCTTTCAACTGAGTAGTACACGAGACGATATAGACGGTAAATCAAGACGTGGTCCGACCGTTATTACCTAGCTATAGAAATTATGTAGCTTTAGCGTGTGAGTACACTTATGTGTTTCATGAGTCGGTCGGCCATAAGGCGGGATGGTATAGAGAAACATTCGTATTCAGTTATTGGTTAGCATTGTGTGTACGATCTAATAATAATAATAACAGTAGCAGAATGTTGTCGGCACACAAACGACGGAATCCATGTTGAATCAGAGAGATTATGTATATTTATACGCGCATATATATATATATATATGATTTGTCAACGCTGTTTGGTGACGTGCATTCGTTTAACTGTATTACACGTTTTTAGCGTGTGTTATTGGCGTAGTGATAATTGCATTGTTATTAAACGCCATCGTAGTGGTGCTCGTCGCAATACATTCTCCAGCCTCAGCGGCGGCTGCCCGCTGCCGTGTTCACGATGTTCTACACTTTAATAGTAGTTGTACTATAGCATATTATAGCTCAACTCTATAACAGTCGGGTCAGCTGTTGCTAGGATGCGGTTGTTACGGGCCAGTGCTTACCCCTAATCCTGGTCAAGTACATTCAACATCCAGTAACTGCAAGCCGGCCGGCCAACCGACCCGAAGGCCTTCAGCGGGGGGTCGTTCCTCATGCCGCAGTGCATGCTGCCGACGTACCGTGCTGCAAGATATTTTTGTTATCCTCGGTAATTATCTTTACTATTGCTGATGTTATATAGCAGCAGCACCGCCACGGCCAGTCTAGAACTAGATCGCGTTAGTATTCACACACGCGACCCGACGTTAGGCGGGATGATTCGACGGGCTTAAACGACTCGAACAGTTAGCTTGATTTTCATTGAAATAATACCGTTCTCAATACTTGTATATCACTGATATAATTTCGAAGCACTAGAATTCATAGTTCGTCATCAGATTTAGATACCTCATTTGAATGATGAATGCTATTTATTATTGATAGATTTTTCACCACGTGCGTATACCGGGAAGATTCTCCCAGAGGGCAGACAAACATTCGAACGACTCAAATTCTTGCCGAAGATACGAGGGTTAGTGCAATGCATGAGAAAAGTCCTGTGATGAGGTTTTGCGACGTACGTGCTCAACGACTGTTGTATCACGAACTTATCCGACCTCTGAACAGTCAGCTGCACGATCAATAATGGAACCAGAAATTCGTTAATTAATGGGGTCATCTTTAATAAGCATCTATTTTCTGAAGAAAATAAAGTACAACTAGTAATGAAGCTACCGATGTTGCAGAGTTCGAAGACCTCTCGCCGAAGAACTGATGTGTAAATACGAAGAATGACTTGGCATCCTTTTCTCGTTTTTTCATTCT